ATGATGATGATGATGAATCCATCGTTTGCCGAAGAGTGCTGTTTTTCATGCCCAACTCATAGTGGCGGAAGCAGAGAGGCGACGAACTTTTGAGCTGACCGAGGAAAAGGAAGGATATTACGAAACATTAGGGTACTGTTGGTATTACTCGGATTCCAGGATGGGCACCGCGTGACCCCCACTGCACCTGGGGATGCTGCATAGTGGCGGAAGCAGAGAGGCGACGAACTTTTGAGCTGACCGAGGAATATAAAGGATATTACGAAACATTAGGGTACTGTTGGTATTACTCGGATTCCAGGATGGGCACCGCGTGACCCCCACTGCACCTGGTTGGGGATGCTGCAAGATATGGCTGCTGGTCGATGTCACTGGCATTCTTGTTAGTTTCTGCTTTACTGGGTATATGGAATGTTAGGTACCTCGTAATGGTTGTAGTAAACTAGCAATAAATTCCTTTCCTGTCCACCTTTATTCTTGTCTTCGCAAGAAGACTTTCAAATAAATCGTAGTTATACAGCAGCGAAGCACCTGTGTTGAACACTGATGTCGATGGTGATGATGAATGCTCCTACGCACTCTAGTAAAAACGTGGGATCAAAACTTGATTGGCGTTTTGGGGCGTTTTTTTTCTAGTTCTCATTTCGGGGTTAGTTCGTGTTACCCAACTGGCCCACCTACTCCTCGAGTTTCCGTAGATTGCTCTTGTGTTTTAAGCGACTCTACCGACCCAACTACAAGTCGCAGTGTCAAACTGTTTCAGTTTACCTAACGGGTGGAACAAAGGCCTTAGCTCATTTGTCTGGTCTTACTCTCCTCAGTCAGTGGTCTTAGCCGAGGAACGCAACTACCTTGTTGCACTTACTGGACGCCCAAGAGGGGTATTGTGGATACCCTGGAAATTCAGACTGCTTTCTGAACATATCATCAGCAATGAACATGCAATTAAGAAGGACGTGGAACTAGTTCTTGTCAAAGCTCGCGCTGACGCTGGCCATTTGATCAACCCTGTGCGCACTAGGCTGGCTGGTCATTTCAGCGCTTAACAATCTACTGTTGTGTGTTTTCGCCGTAGAATTCTGCCCAACCACTGGTCCCAGTTACTCTACAGTTTTACTTCCTCGAATGGTTTGCGAAAACTAGTTCCTCGGTGTGACCAGACTTTTTTCTTTGCACATAATTAATCTGCTTCCTACACGCCACCAATCCCGTGCACTGTTCACTCACTAAATCGTCAAGGTCCCATCGTTTCAGTTTGGTGGTTGTCTTGATTGACTTGTGAGGTGAAGGGTGAACAGTGTAGTTGCGCGGGGGTCTAATTACTCACACTATTTGGGCTTCATAGATGTAAAGTAATGTGAAATGTGTAATGTAAATTCAGACTAACGAGGTCGAACATAGGTAGCTTTTATTGACCAGAATGATCGTTATAATCCAGTCTCTAATCTTATGGTTGGACACATGGCGACAGCACTAGATAGTTCAGACCACATCAGATGAAATATCTGCTGCATTGTTCGCTCTTCGGGTTTCGTCCCAACTATAAGCCGGTGCATAGGATTTACTTCGTTCGGAAAGACAGTATTGGTTACCTAAATTGACAAAGTATATTGTCAGGAAGCCTTTTTTCATGTCAAACCACTAGCTATGATTGTTTCCAGGTAATACTGTTTTTGGGCACTACTGACGCTAGAAAGTTCGAACAAGTACGCTTGTACCTACTGCGGTGGCTGGATGACCGAAAACGGTCTTCCCAGGGGTTGACTGCTATAAGGGAGACCGTAAGCCTACATTTTACCGCCTATAGGAATATCCTAGTTTAAAACCTACTTTCAGCTTTCATTAGCTCCAGCGAAAATACCTACTTGCGGAAACCTGAGCACAAAGGTGATCTACGGGTGGTTGTCTTAGATGTGGGGACCCCTTTTAGAAAAGGTCACATATTGGCTATGGAGGGATTTCACTGACGTTTTCGTTACGAAACCCCGGTGTGAAGAACCCGCTAGTACCGGGTAGGAGTTTGTTTCAACGAAATTCGGTTTAAAAGGTGCTCACCGAGTTCCAAACGTTTGCTTTTGCCGACAGAAGGTTTGGCTCACTGGCATTCTATGATATTCAATTTAATTTAATGATGTGCGGGTAGGCTTTAACTTGTTGGTAAAGCCGGAGTGGTTGATCCACACGCCATTCAGTCTGTCAACAAGGGACCGTGTATATCATTCTCCCCAAGTAGATGACCACAGTAAATGCGAATTCATTCACTCCTAACCAGAATGGATTTTTCGGGAGGATTGACGGTGGAAATGCTGGTCTCCGCTAAACTGTTCGGATACGGTATCCTCCTGAGCTTTTCGAACGGAAAATTAACACATCTAACGTAAGAAATTCGTCCAGCTGTAACGCTCTTCCGGCGCCTAGCTGCCATGCCACCCGAAGGAAGCACGAGGGCTGGGACACTGCCAGGTTGCTCAAGCTTAGACAGGGGGATTCGAGAGTCAGAAGTCGGGTTCGAACCACGGACTTTCTGGTCAGTAAATTCGCGCTCTAACCACTTGAGCCTTTTGTTTGATTGTTTGGTGAACAGATGTTCTAACCCGGCTGTACGGTAGCGAAGCATCGATGTTGAACACTGATGTCATGCTGTCGATGTTGATGATGACTAACCCAGCGGTATATGATCGTCTTCTTACAGGTACGCCTTGGTCAAATTTGTAAACGAAGATGTAGCCTTTGAAGCCTTTGTCAACACACACAAACGTGTGATTAAAGGACAGACAATCTGTGTCAACTACGTCATCAACGCCAACAAGAATGCGAAGGCAGATAAGACTGGGCCTTCATCCCTTCCAACCACGGTTGAGTTGTCAGTCCCATCGAAACATATCCCTGAATTAAAGAGGCCTGTCACGTCTTCAAGTGATTTGGGTCCTGCAACCAAGAGGCCAAAAGTATTAATCCAGCCTATTCAGGAGGCCATACCGGATGCGGAAGATTCCCCGATTCCCTCTAACGTCCTATCTGAAGGACTGGATCTTGATAGTGACGATTTCTTGATACGACCAGCCAGTTCGAAAGCCGTAGTAAATTCGAAACCGTCACACATACTCTCCCAACTAGTTCATTCACGGAAGGCAGCTCTTTCCGAGAAATCCAAGGCCATTCCGGGTAAAGAAGAATCTAATAAAGCGGAGGATGACGAAGATGAGGACCTTGGCAGTGAGGGCACTGGTTCAGATGACACCTCAGATTCCGACTCTTGCGAGTCGCTTGCCGGAGATTCGACGGATCCAGATAGTGCCACTTTGAGCGAGGATGATGACGATGATGATGATAAACAGGAAGAGGAGGAGGAAGATATCGGTGATGATGAGCCTGAAGATACCGAGAAAGAAGGCTTATCGAATGGCTTATTTCAGTGTCCACCTTCGGCTGAGGAGCAGGCTGCCCTTGAAGCATCCGAGGACTCGTTGGGCGAAGAAGTAGACAATGTGCTGGGAGAAGTGATGCACGCACGACGGTCTGCCATGCGTGCCTTGAAAAATGCCGGTTCCTCTAAACGTGCATGGTCTGCTTCTGGTACTAGCAAAGGACAGAAAATCCAGCGCGGCAACAAGGGATTCAAGCCCTTTATGGTTAGTTTTGTTATATTTTTTTACACTTTTTTCAAGCTGTCTTTCGGTTCTGGGTTTTTCATATCGGAGTTGGATTTGGGCTACAATAGCTTTAATGCAGTGGCCTCAACTCCAGTTTCTGATCCAAAGTGGTATCTTGGTTAAACAAGAATCACACGGTGACCCCTGTCTATTCACCATGATGCGGTCAATGTACTTTGTCGCCGAATATCGCGAACACTGCCATAATCGCAGGCGGATACTTATGTTTTGAGTGTTTTGCTGCCTGGCGGACTACCACCTGTGTCTGCAACTCATTTCAACCAGGTTACTCATCCTGATTACATTGATTCTGAATTTGAATTGCTCGTTTTCCGAGCATGTGGATTCGTGCACATTGTTAAATTCCCAGTTGTCCTTTGAGCTCAAGTTGGCGCAATGGTTTACTTGCTAACCTTAATGTGCGTGATCGGAACCCGACATCTGCATCTTAACAGCTTCTGTCTAGACCTTAATTATTAATTAGTCGTTCAGCCGCAACACTCGGTGCCTAGCTGCCATGCCACCAGAAGGAAGCACAAGGGCTGGGATACTGCCAGGTTGACAAGCCTAAACAGGAGAAGTCGAGACTCAGAGGTTAGGTTCAAACTACGAATCTTCCGGTCACTAAATCCGCACTCTAACTACTGAGCCATCTCGCCCCCTGTCTAGGCCTGAGCAGCCTAGTAGTATCTCAGCCCTTGTGCTTCCTTCGTATGGCATGGCAACTAGGCATCGAAAGGGTGCTGCAGCATTATCCTCGTTTGATTTTTGTCGTAGATAACAACAACTGCACCAGGTGTGTAGAGTCCCACGTGTTCCTCAGTAAGTTCTTGAGGATGACATGCTTTTCAATGTTCTTTTACGGAAAGGCTGGACATTTATCTAGTAACGTTTCGGAACTCTTGTGACCACTTTGTACTCCAAAAAGTGCTTCGCGTACAATTGTATGCCTTTGGATAGAACACTTGAGACGATTGAACAAAAGTACACTCTCCCGAGGGGAAAGCAGAATGAATAGATTGATAAGAAAGTTGGAGGGTGGCAAGCTACACTAATTTGTCAACGGGTGCCCCAATGGCATCTCCTGTTTATGATATTCCTCAACGAAATGTACCGTACACGGACTGTCTCGTTTCAGTTGGGATCACCACGCAGGCCAAGTCCCTGGCGTTCTTCCAGCATTGTTTTCTCTCTTGAACACTGAATTGTAAGCAAGTGGTGAAACACTCATTTGCAAATTTAGTTGGTGTCAACGTGGAATGCGTCTACATGATGAGGCACAAGAAGGGTGAAACCGATAGTGGGTTGTTTCAGGGTTATTCCGGACAAAAACTGTACGGTCTCTGCCTGGTGTATGTCTCTACAGAAGACCTGTCAGTTCCTATGTGTTATTAACTGCAAACGGTCGTAGTGTTTTTTCATTCACTGGGTCCAAGTAGAACAGAGTTTTTCCTCTATAAGCCCGTGAGTCATATTGACTGTAGCAATACACTGCAAGTCCGAAAAACTCGCGGACTAGCGTTCATCACAATGTATCGGCGACTCAAACGTGTTGGCCGGCATCGAGGATCACCAGATGGTGAGTAACTCAATGAGGTCGAAATGAACACATTATCGAGTGTAGGTAGCCCCTCATTCTGTTCCGCAAGAACTATTTAAGGAGCTTCCGTTAAGATAACAGGGATGTCTAAGCTTTGAACGAGCAAAGCTGAAGGGATTTTCAATAAAATATGCTTCAGAAATCGTTTCATGGTTCAAGCTGGGAGGTTACCTTGAATCAGAGACTCCAGTTAGAAGGGGTGACAACTGCACATAGTTTCGGATTCATCTGATATGTCTGAGGAAATCACGCACTTTTGCAGAAACCAACTTTTCATTAACCATACCTTGTTTACTCATCGCCTTACTATTAAGTTTCTGTTTCTTTTTCCTCCCATTTGCTCACAGCTTCCCATACCCTCGAAACGGAACTGAACCCGACACCTACTTTTGTATGCTTTCACTGTAAATAGTAAATGTTTATCTTGAACGCATGTTTGATTTACTCTACTTTACTGCGGTATTTAGTCTTCCAACAAGACGAAGGATCGCTTCTGCCAAAGATTCATGTTTATTTGGAAAGCTGTTCATAGAATTCTACTGTTACGACTGATGGAAGATATTCTCTCTTCAAGTCAGGAGAAGCTTAGAACATTCGGGTTGATTTTTTTGGCTACCCAGTACGAGAATTGAACTGAAACGAATGTCATATAGAAAGGCGACTTCGAAAAAAGGGAAACTAACAAGGAAATCGATATATTAAAAAATGGTTCAGCTGTAACACCCTCTCGGTGCCTAGCTGCCATGCCACCCGGAGGAAGCACGAGGGCTGGGATACTGCCAGGTTGCCCAAGCCTAGACAGGGGGAGTCGAGTGGCAGAGGTCGGGTTCGAACCACGGACCTTCCGGTCGGTAAATTCGCGCTCTAACCACTTGGGCCGTCCCGTTCCAGATCGATATATAGGAATATTGACATCTAGTTAAACGTTCACCAACAAGTGATTAGAGTAAGAAAGCACACGATTCTAACGAGTTGCTGTACGAATTGTCAGTGGATGCTTAAAAAGAGATTTCAGGAAGATCACATTGTGACCCGAGGTGACCCTTTCGCAAAGTGTAATACATGCATCGAAATGCTCGCCTATAATCAAACTAGCTGTTGTACCTCTGCTGAGTCCACAACGAACTTTTAGTCGGAGGAAAACTGTGAAGAGCAGTACAGCTTGAGAGAACTAGTAAGCGCGGTAGCAAACTTGGACTGAGATGTAGCTTGGCCTCAGCGAGTAGAAAAGAGGCCTAACCTTAAGGTGGCGAGATGGCTCAGTGGTTAGGGCGCGAATTTACTGATCGTAAGGTTCGTGGTTCCGACCCGACCTCTGCTTCTCGACTTCCCCTGTCCAGGCTTGTCAACCTGGCAGTATCCCAGTCCTCGTGCTTCCTTCGGGTGGCATGGCAGCTAGGCACCGAGTGTTGCGGCTGAAAGTACACTGAAGCAATATGTTCGCTCTTTTTTAACATAAAACCTATTCAGTTTAGTGCCAACGGGTTAATGACAAAAAAGGTGTGTGTTCGAATGCATGTCTGTCATAAGGTTAGAGAGTGCACTCATACAATCGCTTTAAGATGAAGATAGTGGATCATTTTAGGTCAGTTTATTCCTCTAGGAGATTAAGTTTTGTGCAATCGGGGTTCAATAAACTAACGACGGCGTCATCTGTGTAGCTGAATCCAATGAGGGACAAGGTAGTAAGTTGTATGAAACATAAAATATGAGAGAATCACACTTCGGAAGAATCAAGTTACTTCGGAGGGCAGTGGATTCACGGCTTTCACGGTCAGTAACTTCTACTCGGTTGGAACGCATGCCTGGTCTTTGTCGATGCACCTTTCGTAGATGTTTCAAGGTTATTCAGTTGAGGCCTCCAAGTGTCCAAATATCCGGGCTGTTCTTTTTTGGTTAGCTTTTGAGGAGCCAACTTAGAGAATTCACAGTCGCTTGATTACTGTACAATAACTCAACCTGCCGTCCTACCGTGGTGGGCTATCTCAATTTTGCTGGAACGACTTATTTTATTCTGTTTATACACTCGTCTGCGTGCCAATTCGGTTTTAACGGGAGACTCATTTGAAACTCAAATGAATCTCTTGTTTCTGATATTCTTCAACTGGAAGCACTGTACAAAGACTGCCTCGAAGACTGGCACAATATTCAGAATGTCGTGTATTTTCTTGACAGGGTACTACTCAAAAGGTTGTTGAAAACTGCTTCAGCCCTTGGAGCTCATCAGGTTGGTGTAGTCCCTAATTTTTGCAAGTTTCATGTAACTACGCTTGCCTGATGGGCTTCAAGAAGGGCGGAATCGGCAGTGGACTGTCGATGAGTTTTCAGCAACTTTGTGGGTAAAGTGTTCTCTCTGAAACTTTCTTTTCGGGTACTTTTACGCAGACTAACCGCCGGGACGTGACGCCTGTAATGGTTTCATAACCATGGATGCATTCACTTTTCAAGGGTCCTCAATGCGCCTGTGTCCCAACTTTTTTCTAAAGCGAATAATTATTCTCTGCCTGGAGCCGTCCAAGCACGCTTGCCACTTGTTTTATCAGATGGAAAGATCGTCCCTGTAGATGTTAGCAAAAGTGAGGGATCGCGTTGATTCCACACTACTTACAGGATGCAGTAGTACACATTTTAAGTGAAATTTACAGGCGTTTCAGGCTGGAGCAAATGTGATTTCCGCACTCCCAATCACTTGGACAAACAAGTGAAAATATTTTTTTCGTTAAAGTTGCACCTGTTCTCCACCTGTAGAGTACGTAACACGAGCTTCGCCATACAATTTACACAAACAGGGGTTCACCAGTAGAGCTTTGATTTTACATGAACCATCTTATTAAATACTGACAAAACCGACCGGTTTTCTTTTGGGCATTATCAGCTGTACCTTCCTCCATTGATAACCTACTGAAAAGTGTTACTTTTGTCTTTCTGGGCAACTAGTTCGCATGGCATCGCCTACCTCATGTTAGGCGGATACGAAAGCTCTGGCAAACGTACCACAGGTAGTGACAAATGTCTGTCGCACAGTTCTCCCGCTTAGGAAATAGGGAAGATACTTCTGGTCGGGACAGCAGGAACATCGCTAAACGCTTATGTGAATGCGCCGGGTCCCCTATTAAGTTACCCATTGATCAGATCTTATTCCACATTGTTTTCATATACTCGATTCCGGCATAGACTATTGTTCCAGAGGATATGTAGCCGTATATGACGCTTAAATGCTCATCGAATTTTAGAAAAACTCCAGCTAGTATGGACATCATTTCGGAGAGGTCGCTTTGCAACTTCCCATCCCTTATGCCTTTACTGTCAGCACATCTACCCCTACTATCACCTTGATTTCTCTTCTCTATATTGGCAACTACAATGATAGGTAATCCGTGGAAATATTTGGTTGGAGAAAAACATTGCAAGCGTCAACACGGCTTGCTATTCCTTGTCTGTACGTGGAACAGAAGTTATGGCTTTGGTTGGTTAATTGGAACACTGCGGACAACGTATAGAATTGCGGGTTGAGTAGCTCCCGCGTCGTTCGAACATACAGAGTGCTTCCCGGAAAGTGAACAAACTGGAGGACCTTTGGGACTGGACACAGGTGTAGAAGGCATCAAGTTTCACTGAAGTATAAAGTGAACAAACTGGAGGACCTTTGGGACGACACAAGTTTCACTGAAGTAGGGTGTTATTTGTCACAGAAACCTTTGCTGATTGGTCAGCATGACTCATGACTAAAATGATCAATCATGTCTGAGTCTAACTGTCTCTTGCAAGTAATTATTTCATAATAGAGATACAAGGGGATTCAAAGCGCTCTTCAATGTTCGATAGGGTAGTGGGAATACATCTAATGTCTTTGTGTTTCATGGGGTAAAATATCACCACTTAGCAACAAAAGTCTAACATAGCTTGCACACTGATTTGATCTCCACTGATCCAGCTTGATTGTCTGAAACAATGTGTGGCAGAACATTAGGATTCACTTCAGAGTGTGTATCCCATTTTTAGACGAGTCATTTTTGCAAACCTTTGTCTTTCCCACAAGGAATACGGTTAGCTGTGTTACTGACTTGTTGAACGGTGCGTTCTTCACCCAGTATTTGGAATCATGGTGACTCGAGCGCCTTACTATCAAAGCAATGCAATAAATTTGGCGTCAGTTTTACCAAACGGTTGGTTGTGACAGATTCCGCCCGACACGGTGGGCATTGGATGTCTTCGTCGTGTTTCTCTGAAGAATCCTATCTGACCAGGATAGAGGACAGTGATTCGTGAGACGCTTGTTCATTGACTTTTCCTCCTTTCTGATAACTGCTACATGGCAACCACAAAGCCAGTTGTTCTTCTCCCTACTTTGGTTGGTCTCATGCCTAGGTGATATTCTTGGGCTGGGACAAAAAATGTTCTTTCCCCGTGTAACCATAGTGTCCATCGTCCTACGGCCTTTATTTTACCGATGCCCTATAACTTTCTGGTGTTTTGCTCTCCAAATACCGATATCGTAACCTCTAGAAGTTCGCCTAATCAGAGGACCTTCTTTGCTTAAACCGTTTTGCACCCTCATCCTGAGGAATATGTGGCACTGCTTGGTTCTTGATGAAAGGTCAATAAACTAGTAACACTTCAGTGATGTTTCCACTGATTTACGGCAGTCTTCAAGCGACTGACATAGACTGGATTCAGTTCTCCGTTTCACTGCCTGTTCATGGTGGGAGGAACGAGAGGATAGGCAACTCAATGCAATTTGATTTCCATTCCACTCGGTTTGATGCACCGGGCTGAAAACACCTTTTTTTAACACGAATGAATGTGCCAAGCTGAGAAAAATGAGGCAAAATCCAGTGACTCGCGTTTTTAATCGTGCCCACGTGCTGTCAAGAAAGGCATCCGCAGGTGAATTCGGAAGACCGTTGGAAAGCCCAGGAAAGCGAATTACTCACCTGGCACCTCAAAATGTTGCAGGTAGGTCAAGCTGAAAACCAGCGTGCCCCTGCGGATCTCGTACATACGCGATACAATAGTTGTGTGCGTTTCAGATTCAAGAAACGGGTGAGGTTTACTAAAACGTCTTCCTGTATAAGGGCTGGTTCCGAATTCACGTAGCATAGCACGACCTATATGTCAGATGTCCGTATGAGATGGTCGTTCCAAAGAGCGTTCACCAAGTAGGCTATGCGGTATTGGTTTGAGGCATAACCGTCCTTCTACAGAGGTCTTGCAGTGGACCAAACGAAAGCTGGCTCCCCTATGAAGGGCCCTTCATGTAGAAAATGCATCTAGCGCCAGCTAAAGGTAAGTTTTCTGCGGGTTAGTCTTCTTCGGAGGTAGTTTTTCCAGAAAGGAACAACTTTATTGTCCATTTGGGTTGCAGTGCAAAACAAATGATGCTGGAATAATCAACCCGCCTCTTCGGTGGTTGCACCTTCCGAAGCTCTTCACTGGAGGTGCCGTAAAGCAAAAGCCGTTCTGTGCTGAGTAACGGTTCTTTTCCCTTCCCTGAATAGTGGTGTCTCTGATTAATTACGTTTCAGAATAGCGAGATAAGAGAGATGGGCGAGGCCAAATGGTTCTTTTCCCATGATGGTTTCTTTTAGTGGGATCGCCATAACTCTGAATAACTGATCATCATACGTACGGTTGCAGAAAAACTCATTTTTTTCAAGAAGGTATCGCAATTCCTTCGTGAAATCTAGATTGCGGAACTAGTAACACGTCGTTTAGTTTGGACACTTGTTTTCTTTTTCAGTGTGCCGTAGCAACTGCTGAGTCGAACACTAGTCTCATCAAAACTCGTTCCACGTAAATTTTATGGGCTGTTATATATTCCGCAAAGGCCACACAGATGATAAGTGTCATAGTAGAAAGGCAAACATACCTCCAAAACTATCATGAAATTTGCCTAAAAGCTGTGAATAAAATGGCTGAAACTTGCGTCAAATTTAGCTGAGGGACTCACGGAAAGGGGGTACTACATCCTGTCTGGCAAGAAACGTAACGAAAATCAAAGGAATCTGGAACTTGACGATCAATAACAAGACGAACCGGACATTTTTACATGCTGCCTTAGATGACCTGACTTGCGCAACAAAACGGTTCAAGTAGAACATAAGGTTGACGGAAACTCGGGGACTGCGCCTACCTGATGAGCCCTAAGAAGAGCGAAACCGGTCGTGGGCTGTCGAAGAGCTTTCAGCAACCTTGTGAGTAGTTTCCTCTACGAAAACAGCATAAATTTTCCTAGTGCAATTTCATATGTCACTCACACAATGATCATCTCATTGTCCTAAGCACTCAGACCACGAGAAGGTGAGCCCTGGTTCTTTGGGTAAATGGTGATCACTTTTAACAAAGAATAATCCAGATCACAAATTACATCATCTAGAACTCATTGTTGGGCTGTGGAATTTTTACCGATGAAAATGTTCACTTCTGGTGGATTTGCTGAACTTATGTAAGGTGAGAGTGAACGAAAAAAACCAGCCGCGGCAGCTCAACAATCTAAAAGTTGTGGAGCTAGGTGTTGAAGTGACCTACGGATTATGTGCAAAATTCAGTTGGACCTAAAAGTTTTTGATAGAGGAAGCCTGTGTGGTTCCACAAATTAACTAATTTTGCCCTTTGATTTGGAACAATGACCCTTCAGTCTAAAAATGATGCGGTATAATTTTGGCTACTTTTAGTCCAGTTTTGCGGTCAAAAGATCAATAATGTTGCCTCCGATAAGCGGACTAGCGAGCATAGTTCACTTGGCGCGGTTCATTTGGAAACGCGAGCTGAAAATACTACAAATGTACTTCACTTATGAGTTAGTATAAACCCTGCATTTTTGACTGATTGGTTGTTCAAAGTAATCCCACCAGCCCTTCAACTCTAGATGCACACTACTCATAATAAATCGGTAGATGTAAGAAACCAAATATGTACTCCGCATGGCACCCGGTGTCAGTTTTGTCACTTTCGCGTGTGCTACAAAAAACGAGTTGACAGAAACGTAGATCTGAAGTGTATCAAATCACATGAGGATCGATATTTTCGACATAAAGTGTTTAGATTACCACCCTTTCAAACCCATGTCATGTTTTTCATGTATGATTGGTGCGCTTTCAACCGAGGCAATCTACCGTCGAATCGTAGCAGTCTATTACAAGCATGGTTGACTAAACGAGTGCTGAAATTTCACTGGTTTGGACTAGCCGAATTTTTCATTTCAGTAAGTCAGGATATATCAGATCTTTCGAATTATGCATATAAGGTTGCATTCCTGTCCAGGGAACAATTTTTGTCAGCTGTGTAATTCGGAGAATTTATTGGTTCGGGTAATCGATTTCGCCTAAACTTCCATGGTGGACTTGGTGCGTCAAGGACACGATTTTGCGGATAAATTAAACACAAAAGAGTGCAAAATTGTCAAGTAACCAGAGCGTTTTCAATCTGTGCCGGGAACAAACCTGCAACAAGAATGTCAGATGCTGTGTCTTAAATATCATTTTTAACAATTGAATAAGCCAACCGCGTGGAAAGCCAGTTGAGCAAAACGGCGTAAACTATGCTAATTGAAATACTGTAGATGAAACGTGGGTTGCGACGCACTAAAGGCTATCTGGTCACATGAATGCACGAGACGTAACCGTATTCAGTTGAATGACTTTCAAGTGGGACCATCAAATGAACCGAACCAGAAGAACTAGACCCAAACACATGTAGGTTTCCCCATCGACCCAACACTTGTTCAACCGCCACAAAAATCCCTCGGCCGACTCCCAACAGAGATTTAGCTTGACTTAGCTGATTGGTTCTCCTTCCGGCTTAAATCTCGACCAACCTCGGAACCTAGTCACTTGGCCTGACGAAGCTTTTGTGTCAAAAGCAAAACGTTGCCCAGCAATTAATCTACCGATTGTCACCAAACGTTTTCGAAAACAATAGCCGTATTCGTTTTTTCGTATGTAAATGAAAGTGAAAAGTTGCACCCATAATTGTGTAGGTGAGTAAATTGTATCCAGCTGGAAAATTATGAAATTTTTTGTGGAAATTTTCCAGAAATTGTTTACCAGCAGCAGTTCATCTCCAGAAGGCTACCGATTGCTGACTGCCACTCATAGTGTTATGTAGTCAAACCCAAAAACGTATCAGCACAAACTCAAGCTGAGTATAAATTCAGCGTTTTCCAGCTCAGTGGACTTTTCATGTAGTGACCATGATGTTGAAACCTGTTTTTTATCTGGTGCATTCAGCTGTGTGCTGCCATCCAAGAGGGCCAAGTAGGCCTTCCCGAAAAAATCACCAAATGTTTGTGGAGATATCCACCATGTGCGGCTGACGGTGAATGCCAAGTTCTTCATCTCTGGGAGAAAGTCACCGTAAAACAACGTAACTAAGCGAAAGAAATGTTAGTCTACTGGCAGCTATAACTTGTTATTCTGCAGGTAACCAACGGATGACTGTGCTCACGGTCACGGTATAAACAGGACTAGACTGATGGACACTCGGAGGAACGTTTACTTGATGAGACTTTGGAAGGTCCGAACCGGTAGTGAGCAACCGTATTTGTATGGTGGTTTGTTAAAACAAACCAGGTTACGTCCATATTCGGATTCCTGATCTTCACTACCCTAGAACATTTTCTAATCAAATGCGACTGTGGAGTGGTGTACGTTGATCGTAATAGATCGGTTACGATTCTTGTACTGTTGACTTTGCTCGTCTCTTCCGTTATCAAAATTAGACGAGAGCACTGTTTAGACTATTCTCAAAAGCATACGTATAGAGTGAGTGAAGTTCACATAAAGGAAGATGGAACATATTGACAAGGGATAGAACGACTATCTACAGTCTTCCCTCCAAAGGAATGTATGCGAGTATAAAAGTTTTATCCTGTATTGGGTCAGGAAAAGATACTTCGATGTATCGAGTATCATGTCAGTAGAAGCATGAGACAGTCTTTGTGAGGGACATCCAGTTAAGGAATATATCCATATGAGATTCACTTGAGTCTCCCGTTACTGTAAGCTTAATTTACAAATGAATGCGATTGGCCACAACTTAGCGAATATACACCCAGTTGCAAACTAATTTGGTTTTGCGAGAGACTCACCTGGAACCCAGTTGAATCTATCGAATGTGCTGCACCAGACCGCCTCATGTTTCAGTCGCTACGACATTCGAGATTCGCCTTAAATTTGTTCTTTGTAATGTACTACTCATAAGATTGCTGAAAACATCACAAACGAGAGTTTCAGCTGGATTCCAGGTGAGTCTCTCGAAAAACTAAATTAGTTTGCAAGTGAGTGTAATTTGGTTTCAAGTAGAATATAAGGTTGACGGAAACCCGGGGACTGCGTCTACCTGATGATCCACAAAAAAGGGCTAAGCCGGTCATAGGCTGTCGACGGATTTTCAGCAACCTTATGAGTAGTACATTACAGAGATGGCCATAACTTAGATTGTAGAATTTCGAGGATTATCCCAAACTGATTGGCTCCACAAATATTGAATTCCGTAGCGGGCTGTGAATGTGAAGGGTTCAACAACTCGGTAAATGGTACTGTGTCAAGAGAATTCTACATGTTATGCGCAAGACAATTTAAGCCTCAAATCATGTCTCTTTCGGACAAAATTGAGGCCTCACGTGGTTGACTTTGGTGGATTTAGGGAAGCCGGGGCCATGTGGGTTTTGGTGGCAGAACAAAATGAGGAAAACTCTGGTAAAATCAACCTAGTGACGTAGGATCAAAATATGTTGGCCACTTGCTGACGACAAGTTTACAATCAGTCAATGCTTCTAGTTGTTGTCACTTATATGGTTCTGAACACAAAGGGGAACTAGCGTCGTGGCACTAAGACGCTTATCGATCTCACCAATGTAATCTTCTGGGCGGTTACACATGACGTGATACACTCAGTGATCCTGGTACGTCTGTCCTCTTTGTTTGAAGTTATTGATGACCCTTGAATCAGTCGCAAGGTCCACGTCCCTGGAGTATTGCACCTTAAGTTTTCATAACCGTTCGATAAGTCTGATATCACGTGACTAAAAGCTTTTTGCAGAGATTGTGAAAATCGCGCTTTCTCGTTACTGGTATTTTGTCACCTATGAGCCAATACGAAATGGGTGCATTCACCGATTTAGTTCCTCGTTTTCAGTCTAAGAAATAATTTAAAAAAAGTGCGGGTTGCTACACAATACCTGCTGAATGCATCGATGCAGTGAAGTGATATCTCAAAGTTTGACAGACAATCGGTTGAAGGATTTCACCCTCGACTGGTTCACATGTTCCGCGACCAACCACAAAATTTTGCCCATCAGGTCTTCTGACTCTGACATTTCAACAAATTCCAGCCTAGTGAAAGACAAAACTTTCCAAATGTCACCAGATCGTAATCGGCATAAATAAAGGAGCACCAGAGCGAAATTTTCACTTTTGACTGTCTCAATTTGCAATTTAACACCGTAGTGAACACTTGGAAATCGACTGTACCCGATTTATTCATAGTTGGTAAAGGGATGGGCAAGTCTTCCAAGCTGATTATTGGCTACCTTTTTGGACCGCGCCCTGCTGCTAACTGACAGATAAGGTAGGAAGTCTGGCGTAATCGCGATTAGCTTTTCGTACCCGCTGTTTAACAGACCAGCTCGAAACTGACCCACGTCAGCATGAATGACGTTTCTGTCGCAAGCTTCTATGTGCTCGAGCGTACACTACTCGACGGAACGGAATCCTTCTACTCGGGTGTGTGACACACTTTTGTCTTATGCAGCATTTATTGTCTGAGTAATAAAATTAGCGATGGGGGCTTATGTTTTTGCCCGTATAGGATTGATAAACCAGAGAACCTGAGGACACATGTGAATTGACATCCAATTAGGGTGTTCGCCTGACACATCGAACAAACTGACTGGCCCCCAGGCTGAACAGGAAATGACACGTGGTTTGAGGTGGATAACGTGTACGACTGGGCGGTGCATGAGGCAATCATAATGGAGGATGGCTATAAAACGACCAGCATGATCAGCTGGCAGCCCACAGCTTTCTAACCAGGTGGATACAAGAAAACAGTTGAAGCTTAAACTGAGGGCGCATTGAAGTCGCACATATGCGACTAGCCAGCTGTTCGTTTGGTCTATCCGGTCTAACGGTGAAAGGAAGAAGGCCTTCGCTGTGAAGTTGTTCATTAGAAAATGCCGACTGATCAGTTACAGACTATTGGACAAGGAAGCAAAACTCTCATTTGCATCCTGTTTACAAAAACTGAATATCCATCTTCTCTTTGAACGCATCTTTTTGAACTTTCCTGGATATTCATTGACTTTTGCTCGAATCCAAGCAAATGCTACAAAGCGAATCCATAAATTCCGCAACAAATCTTCCTCTTCAAGAGACGCAAAGCGAACTTACAAGAAAAAACATACTACTTGCATGCATTCCCATCAGCAGTATCACCGCTACATCGGTATCCGCGGTAGGTTGTTCGAAGCCTAACACCTTAACAACTGAGCAAGTCGGGGAGGTTGGTGGGTTTGTGACAGCACTGCTAAGTAATTTATTAAACTCATAAAGTCTCTTGAAACTTCACACCATAACATGGCTGCCCTAATATTCCTGTCTACTTTGAACAAGTGAGTTGAACCAGGTTCCTCTTAAGAGCTGATCCAATTTTTACACGCGTAATCCTCTGAAAAATCTATTTTACTCTGTACCAGAGTTGCAACGTCCCTATACACTGGTACTGTGTGTGGCCGAACAGGTGGCATTGCTATGTCATCACATTTTGTTCCTCTCTTGTTGGCGTAGCGGTGTATACTGTTGATGAAACTTGCGAGCTGTATCCGGTCAAGTATCGGAACGATGTTCCTGCATGTGATGGAAGGTCGATACGAGAATTATTAGACCCATATACAGTGTTTGTTAGTCATTAGTTGATATCAAAAAACGCTTGAAAAAGTTCAAATGAACGCTTGAAAATGTGTACTTTTCAAACACTCTGTGCAAATGATGTTTTCACTTCCATAAAGGAAACTACTCACAAGGTTGCTGAAAGCACTTTGACAGCACACGACCGGTTTCGCCCTTGTTGGGGCTCATCAGGTAGGCGCAGTCCCCGAGTTTCCGTTAACCTTATGTTCTACTTGAACCAAAATTGGACTGTTTTCGAGAAATACACTCATTTGCAAATCAATTTGGTTTTCACGAGAGACTCAACTCAATCTCT